TTCCTTCCTTCCTTCCTTCCTTCCTTCCTTCCTTCCTTCCTTCCTTCCGTGTGCATTTGTGTTTTTCCTGCATGCATGTCTGTGTGAAGGTGTCAGATTCCCTGAAACTGGAGTTACAGGCAGTTATGATCTGTCATGTGGGTGCTGGGAATTGAACCCCAGGTCCTCTGAAAGAGCAGTCAGTGCTCCTAACTTCTGGGTCATCTCTCTGGCTTCTGTTCCATACCACCAGTGCCTGCAGCAGAGCCATTGTTTCCCCTCTTTATTTCACCAGCCTGTGCCCTTCATCAGTCCTCATGCCTCACTGCTGTGTAGACATTGCTTCCCCACCTCATATCTCAAGAATACTATGGTAAGAGGCTCTCATAGGATCTTTGGGATCTACCTAGATTCAACTTGCAAAGCAGAAATGGGTCTTGTGGCTCTTGAGGACTGGTCTGGACAGTGTGGGTGATGGTGGACAGAGTCCTCTGCTCTCGGCACTTCACGGCTAAGGAGTCTCCCAGCTGGAGGGGAAGATGACGGATTGGCACTGAAGGTTCATGTTTATTTTTGTTCTGTCTCCCATTGCTCCTCGGTTCCCTCATCACTGTGAAGGCATCTGTTGGCCTTGGTTGCACAGGCCTCCCCAGCCCTCATAGTTTTGCTGGATAAATTTTGTCCTTTTCATTGTCGTTGTTGGCATCAGTCTCTCTCCTCCCTGTTCTTCCTTTCCTCTTTGGATGGAAAACTTAAATGTTTATTTGTTACCACTGGTGTGGCCTCTGTCCACGTGGAACACTTAACACATTTTGAAGACATTTGCTTGGATTTTCAAAGGGCATTGTGGAAAACCGAACTTCAATGAAATGTACATAAACTTGGGCCATCCTCTTCTGGAAGAATACCTGTGGTTTACTTAAAGATAAAGCGGAAAGGAATGCTGTGATGTTGAATTTGACTTTGAATTACAGGTTTAGAAGAATGGCTATGTGTAGAGTCCTGGATTTGTTAGGCCTGTCTACAATATTGTGTCTGTTCATACATATTTATTAGGTTGAAACGAATGTATTTTTTCCCAGTTGTTTCGAAAGCAGCTATTATCTATCTCTACCAAATACCGATTTGTCTCAAATGTTAAAATAGAAAGGCTAGGGCAGCATACAGCGTTGCTGAATAAATGCAGCGTTTGGTTTTTGTCTTGAAACCCTCCTAGACTTGCACCAGACGGAAATGGTAATACCCACCCCAGAGTTCCCACACTGTCGGCTTGAACAGACTGAAACACAAATGTTGCTTTATAGAACCTGCCTGTCTGTTTCAGAATAGTGCTTGGCCCCTTCAGCACACTGAATAAATAGTGTTCATTTTGTAGTGCCACCGGGAATTAGAAGAGGAGAGCACTGGAGAGACTGTCCTACACATGCGGTTTTTAGTCTTACCTCCTCTATTCATGGCCCCATGACTGTAGTCATCTGTGGGATTAACTGACTAGCTAAAAGATTCTCCTGTTCATTAGCATAGAGGGGGTGTAATGAAGCTCATCACACTTTTACACTAAAGACTTCAATAGTTTAGTTCTCCCAAGATCTAACCTGACATGATGACACATGCCTTTAATCCTAGTGTTTGGGAGGCAGAGCAGGTGCATATCTGTAAGTTCAAGACCAGCCAGGTCACAAATCTGAGTTCTAGGACAGCCAGAGCTACATAAAACAGACCCCATTTGCCAAGAAAAAAAGCCCATTTATACTGTTTCTATTTTCAACTTAACATGGTTTCTCTTTGAAAAAATTAATTTTCCTTAAAAAGTCAGAATTACTGTTCTCAGGTTAATTGGCTGATTAACCATTTCCCTTGAGTGTCCAATGCTTTTTTTCTTGCACTGCGTCATCTATTGTCTTCTTCATTTCCTGCCCTCCCCACCCTGCAGACTGTATTTCCTGCTCCTCCCCACCCCGCAGACTGTATTTCCTGCCCCTCCCCACCCCGCAGACTGTATTTCCTGCTCCCTCCCCACCCTGCAAACTGTATTTCCTGCCCCTCCCCACCCCGCAGGCTGTATTTCCTGCTCCTCCCCAACCCGAAGGCTGTATTTCCTGCCCCTCTTGACCCTGCAGACTGTATTTCCTGCTCCCTCCCCACCCTGCATACTGTATTTCCTGCCCCTCCGCACCCCGCAGACTGTATTTCCTGCTCCCTCCCCACCTTGCAGATTGTATTTCTGTCTCCCTCCCTACCCTGCAGACTGTATTTCCTCCTCCCTCTCCACCCTGCAGACTGTCTTTCAAGTGTGCAGTTTTGCCCTCATATATGGCATTTCTTCCCTTCTTTCGTCCTAACTGTAGAACTTGAATGTTGTAGGCAAAAACTCTTTCATGGTGTTTTCAGATTTGTAGCTAGGAGACCCTCCCACCCCCCAAGACCATGTCTCTGTCTCTCTGCCTCTCTCTCTCTCTCTCTCTCTCTCTCTCTCTGTCTCTTTCTCTGTCTCTGTCTCTGTCTCTCTCAACATTTCCTGGTCTTGAAGATTTTAGCTGCATGCACATCCTGTCTAGCTGGAGAGCAATGTGCCATCCAGCACTCTCCCCTTAGTTTCCTACTCTTTGAGTCTTTCTTCCTTTCTATCTTTATTTAGTTCTTCTGTCCACCAGTACTATATACATTGTATCACTTGTGGGAGAAATAGTTTATTTTTTCTTTGCTTGCTTGTTGAGACAGTCTCAATATGTAGCAGTGGCTGGCCTCTCCCTCTGCCAGAGTGCTAAAATTAAAGGCATAAACCGCCACACCTGGCTCTAAAACATCATTTTATAGTAAGATAAAGAACGTTTTGTTTCTGGAATACTCCCAAGATAACCAGTGTTTTTTTTTAACTTTGATTTGAGCAGTAGAAATAAAATTGTGTATGGTATCTCCACCTTTCTAAATATAAAATTGCAAACTTTGACAAATGTTTATGAGATATATAGACACAAATGTATATAATTAGAATTCTTATTGTATTTTTTAAATCACTCTCTGCTTAGACTGACAGCCTTACTCTGTTCTCTTTGGTATGAATGGAGTTGTACACCTTTGCACCTGGCTGCTTAGTGTTAGCTTATTTTTCTCATTGTGGACAGTTCTCCAGAATGCAGTCTCGTGCAGCCTGTTTGTCCACTCACCAGGTAAGGGCGCTTTGGGCTGCTTCCAGATTCTAGACTGCACCAAAACTGCCAGGAGCCCTCACATGCTCTGATGGTTTGAATGAGAATGTCCTACTTAGACTCAGGCATTTGAACACTTGGTCACTAGTTGCGGAGGCTTAGATGGTTCAGCCTTGCTGGAGGAGGTATGTCACTGGAGGGCTTTGAAATTCGAAAGGCCCACCTAGTTACCATGTGCACTCTTCATTTCTGTTAAAGGATGTGAGCTCTCACCTTTTGCCAGCCTTTTCCCTACCTCTTGCTGCCAGCCTGGAGTTGAAAGCCAAAACCAACTCTTTGTCTACGTTATCTTCTCACAGTAACAGAAAATTAGGTATCTACTACACACCTGACCATAAATCTCCAGTGCACGTCAGGGTTAGTACCTATGAATGGACTTGTGGGAAATCTTAGCTTGTTTACTTAACTTGTTCAACAAACTCCAAAAGTTTGTAAAGAAACTTTTAAACTAAGTGCCCAGTAGCTTTGCAGAGAATGGCGTCTAAATACACTTCTCTGCACTAATCTGACAAAGTACAGTTTCATTGCCGACTTTCCTTGGTTTTCCTACTTTCCCCAGCTCACTCTTAACTCACGTAATCACCGTCACGCCCTCCATACACACTTTTCCTTGTTTATTTTTTTAAATTAGATCCTTTTGGGCAGTATAGTAAAAATGTGCTAAAAACTCAGCCCTTTTCCATGAGTGCTTACTGGGCATTTAAAGAGCAGCAGCACACAGTGTGAGATACCCTTGTCTGTCAGTGATGCTCAGGCACGGAAGGTGGGAGCCTTGTTCTGGGTTTTGGTTTATGATACTTAAAATTTTCCAGAAGTTACTACTTCCTTTAATTCTTCTTAGGAGGCTGAGTTTCTGATTCCCATTAACCCCTACTTGACTGTCACAGCCTCACAGCCTCTGAATTGACTTACTGTTCTTGTTCAGATAAAGGATTGCATTTCATAAATATCGACATTCTGTATGGAGAATGGAAATTTAGAAATGTGCTTAGTTAAATTGTTCCAGATTTTGTAATAATGGAAGGTTTGGTTTTAAGATCTGTAAGATAGATTAATGGAGAAAACTAGAACAGAATCTACTGTTTTTGAACAATAAAAGAGGATATATAGCAAAAGTTTTCATTTTTCCTTAAGGAGTTAAAAAAGAGAGTACATACAATGTAAATAAATTAATTAATCCCAAATTAAGTTTTTGTAATCACAATTTTATTTAAAACATGTTTAAAGTTTATATTTAGTCTTTCATTGAAGCTACAGTTTTCATGTAAACATGCCTTCTCTAGACAGAGTTTTGTGGTGTGGACTAGTCGAAAGTTGTTAAGAACTTAGATCAGGGTCTTCACGTCAGAATTATCCAGAGTAGTTCTAGACAAAATTTTGATTCATCTTATTATTATTTCAATTTGGCCCCTTAAACAAAGTTTATCTTTAGTGTTTGCTTTGGCAACACATATATTAAAATTGGAACAATACAGAGATTAGCATGGCCCTTGCACAAAGATCACATGCAAATTCGTGAAGCTCTCCATATTTTTTTTTAAAGTGTAAATCTTTATTATTTAAATAATGTGTTTGGTCAGAGTGCACATTGGGATAGGACACTACAAATAATATTTTAATTGGCAAAAATACTTTATCCTGTTCGTATGGAAAGGGAATTATAATCAAAACCAACAACCTGCCTTTCCAGGGGTGTGGCTAGGGGATGCTCTGGTGGGATGACCGACTGGGAACATCAAGGCTTTTAGGGCCCTCTTAAAGATGTGTAATGAGCTGCCCTTAAATGCAAGGGTTCTGTTTGCGCTACTAATTAAATTCATACTGAAGACTGGTAGGGCAGCTTGCTATTTATGTGTTTTGTCTTGGGATTTAAGTAACTTATAAGGTGAGATGAAGGGATAAATAGGGGAATTTTTAATAAATTGTAGTAGAAAAGCCTGTGCTAACTTCTCAGCTGTTAGCCAGTTTGCCTGAAGACTAAGGGCTGCAGTGCACACATCTAGGTCTCCCCTGCTCTTCACTACAGGGGTAACTCAGCTGCCATGCTTTCCTCCTTGGTCCTAGGCTGACTTTGGAGACATTAAAAGTGTGCTAGGATTTGCTTGATGACTCTAGGTGGATCAGTTTGCTTAGAGTGGGCTGCCGCTGTTTACTATGCAATGTGGTTTCCCACAGTCCCGTGTGAAGGCGGGGCATCTCCTTGTGATCGGCACCATCTCCATTGCTGTGACTTGTCATCTTGATACTGTCCTTTGGTAAACAAGCACTTTAAGTTTGATAATGTTCAAGTTGTTCCTGATGTTGCTGCTTTTAGTGCCGTCTCTGGGGTGGCAAAGGCTCAGCTGTATGTGCTTAGGAGAGTTCTGTGTTTCCAGTCCTTAGTGGTAGGTATTTCTGTATTTGCTGTACATCTATTCTTTAACATGTGACTGTTGACTTGGTTGAAAGTCATTTGTCCACAGGTATCCAGCCCGCTTTTGGATCTGTATGTAGTCTAGTACAACAATTCCCATTGTGGTATCTTGATAACAGTTGTGAGGCTGACAAGTGCAGGTCTTTCAACATTGCTCCTTTATACTTTTGTTTGGGTTATTTTGGGCCCTGGCATCTCCGCATGATTTTGAAGATTCATTCTCCATTTCTATACAAAAAACTTGTAATTTTAGCGGAGCTACATTGACTGTCTAGTTGATTTGGGTATTTGTCATTTTAATGGTATCCTGGTGTTTCCCATTGAAGTCTCTGGTTTCTGTCAGCAGTGGGCCATGGTTTCAGTGCAGAGTCCTCACCTTGACTGTTAGTCTTGAGTATTATAGTCTTTCGGTTGTTCATTGCTGTCATAGAGATGCACACTGAATTTTCTATACTTTTTTTTTGGTAGAAGAGGTCATCTAAAATACATTTGAAAAGACTAGAATTTGACAAAAATACATGACAAGCATGTTCCAAGCAGAGGAAACTCACTTGGTTTCTATCTTCACTACCCTCGGCAGCAGGGCAAGAGCTTTGTTGGGGAGAACAGCACATATAACCCTAGGGAAAATCTTGATGTCGGGAGTGTCAGCCCGGGGCCAAGGGAAGACGACTGTCGGCCTCACCAGCGACGATGCTCCTGGTTTAGTGAACACAGCTAGCGTTTGTAGGGGCTCCATTAGGTGGTTCATAGTGCAGTGATGGGTTGTGAACCTTAAAGCCGTGGCAAGGGACTAGGATGAAAAGACCCACGTGTACCCTTTTCAGGCAGAGCAGGAAGCCCTGTGTTCTTAAATGTTTCTGCTGATTTCAAAATGTTAACCAACCATAATTGATGAATCGCTTGCTTTTTAGGAGGAAAGGTATTTACTTAAAGAAATTTGTTAAACATCATTCATATTGACATGTAATGTTTGAAAGTGTCTAGGTATTATCCTTTCTCCTCCAATTTTAAGTATAGACAGGGGTCTCTACAATTTTCAGTTCGTAAGTAGTATTTTTTGGGAGATCCTGGGGTTTTCTAAACTGTAAGACAGGTAGATATTCTTAATTAGGTTCCATGTGAAAATACCAAACTCTTGTTGTTTTGTTTTCTGAGACAAGATTTCTCTGTAACAGCCCTAGCTATCTTGGAATTCCCTGTGTAGTCCAGGCTGGCTTCGTACTCACTGAAATCTGCCTACCTCTGCCTCCCGAGTGCTGGGATTAAAAATGTGAGCCACCATTGCCTGGCAAAAATTCCAAGCTCTGATGTGGTAGTTCCACTTAGGTTCCATGTTGGTCCACTTCTGTTCCCAGAGAGAAGTCAGAAGCAGCAGATAAAGTTAGAAGCATAATAGAATCATGAGAATCGTTCCTCAGAGTCAAGATTCTCTTCCCAAGCATTCTCTTCCCAATATATAATAGCTTAATTTTGTTGGATTTGCATTTACAGTATTATAGACAGTGTGCTAATTGCCATAGTGTCAGTATGGATTAGACAGCTCACAAGTATTTGAGGACCAACAACTGTGCCAAACACTTGTTACAGCAGGCTTTGATTGTCTTGATTTATCCCATAAATCAATTCATTATATTGGAACTGCTCAAATTTCTGAGAACAGTTATTACTCTTCGAGAATCTACCACTCAGAGTGTACATCTTTTACTCTAAAGCAGACTGCCGGGGTTTTCTCTTAAAACTTTGTGTGTATGGCACAAACATATTTGCATGGGTGCAGACATGCTACTGTTCATCCGTTGTGGTCAGAGGAATCGGTTCCCTCCTGCCATCATGGCCATCAGGGAGCAGCCATCTTTAACTCCAGGACAGCTCAGCAATACAGGTTCTGTTATTTTTAAAGATTGATGTTATGCAAGTATATTTCTTCATAAAAGATGAAGCATGTTTTCATTATCCTTAGCATCGAACTCTTCATGAATTCCTAAGAGATGCAAATGTTTCCCTGATGGACATGATTGGCTAGATTTGCACACACTGTTATATTTCCTTCTCTTCTGGTTTTTATGAGACAGGGTCTCATGTAGCCTAGGCTGGCCTTAAGCTTGCTTGATAGCCGAGGATGACCCTGAACTTAAGATCCTCCTATGTCTACCTCCTAAATGTTGGGATTACAGGTATGTGCCACCACACTTGGTTCATACAGTGCTGGAGATTGGATTCAGGGCTTTAAGATTGTGAGTTAAGCACTCTGCTTACTGAATTACAGCCCCAATTTTCTCCCTGTTCTTTTTTTCCTTTCTTTTAATTGCATCATTTATATATATATATATGTATATATATATATATATGTATATATATATATATATATATATAGAGAGAGAGAGAGAGAGAGAGAAACAGATAGAGCCTGTGCCTGTTTTGGAAAGCCTGCTCTCTGAGGAACTCCTTTGTTACTGTGACTGCCCTAAAGGAGAAGGATGCATAGCCCTGGCTGCTGTTCTGGTTCCCGAGTGTAAAAAGTACCTTGGAAGAGGTACAGGTATCTAAAGTGGGTATGATTGAGTATTTTAAAGTGTCACGTGGTTATTTAGTGATGATTTTGTTTAAAAACTTAAAATAGTCCAAGAAAAAAAAGTGAAGGGTGTTTTGTATTGCTGGTGGTGCTTTGAAATGGGTTTGGAATTAGAGCTGAAACCTCTGTTAGAGGAAGGTAGACCGACACAAATAAAGAGAGAGTAATGTCTTCTTTTAGGGGCAGATGTCTTTCATCTGATGTTACAGCATGTATGACGGCATCTAGAGTAGGGTTCAGTGGGCAGTGTGTGAAATGAAGATTAAAAATGAAACCGATGTACTGGTAGTTCTGTGTACCTACTCATATTTAGCCAGTGCCTTTATAAACACACCTGAAGGTCATTGGAGAGCTGAAGTATACCCCAGAAGTGATTAGACTACAGCGCACAGGATCACGGAACAGTGCACTTAAATTGTAGGGCTCACACTGCAATGATGTTGGAGTTCTATGTAATGGGAATGGGGGCTTGTAAAAGGAGCCGTGGGCTGCTTCCTGCAACCCTGCCTAGCTTATACCCCGAAATAACAACACGGAAATTGTATTCATTTAAACACTGCTTGGCCCGTTAGTTCTAGCCTCTTATTGGCTAACTCTCACATCTTGATTCAACCCATTTCTAATAATCTGTATGTCACCACAAGATTGTGGCTTACTGGGAAAGTTTCAGCATGTCTGACCTGGCAGCTTCATGGCGGGCGGCTCTCTGTCTCTGCCTCTTTTCTCCCAGCATTCTGTTCTGTCTACTATGCCTATCTAAGCTGCTGTCCTATCAAAAGGCCAAGGCAGCCTCTTTATTTAACCAATGAAAACAACACATAGAAAGAAGGTCCTCCTACACCAGGGGCTGACTGCTGGCACTAATACTCATAAACTGTGGGAAGTAGGAAGACATGAGGCTGAAAGGCTCTTGTCCAGCTTCACCCGTTTCTCCCTAAAAGACATGCGTGACTTTGTGAATAATTCTCTTTCACGCTAAACCTTCAGTGTGTGCTTCCTTTTGGCTGTTTGGCTGTGTTAAGACTTGTGCATATTAGGCAAACCTTCTACCTGACCTTTCCTGTCCTGTAGGACTTTTAGTTCTTGGTTTTGATCAAGTGTGTGTGATGTTTGATTTTTAAGGTCTCTTTCACCTATTCTACCAAAAGAGATTTTTCCAGATTATAAACCGGCATTATTTTTAAAACTTCCTGTTAATCATAACATTTAAAGATGAGTTAGCTTTCTTCACATAGCAAGGTGGTTGGTTTTCCTAATTATTGGTGATAAACTCTGATCTCAACCTTATGTCAGATGGCTGCAGTTGTCAAAAAATAGTTTGCGTTAATAATTTGGACCCAACAACTTAATGTTTTCTAATGGAAGAAATAGAAGCTCTCAAAAGTAAACATTAAACATGAAGGCATCTCAGTTTAGGGTGGTTTGAATGAGCCGTAATCGTCCATTATGTGCAGAAGGAAAGCCTGTCTCCTGGTGTCACCTGCCGTGAATGCTTCTTCTCTAGATGATAGCAGACTGCATCAGAAACTTCATCTGCATCCCCACTT